ATATTGTCAAGAAAACTGGACAGATTGGTCCAGGGCACTATGAAGAGACTGACATTCATTCTCATTCTGAATATTTTCCTCTCTCTCTCCCTCCCTCCCTCCCTCCCTCCCTCACACCACACCACACCACACCACACCATAAAAATAATTATAGTCTGCAAAGGAGCCTTATATCATTATGTACATATTTAACTTTTATGCTAAACAATATGTATATTTGATATTGCTTTCACTTATGCTTATGATAATACTTACAATTATGCACTAGATCTGGCTAAGTCCTAAATGAAATTGAGAGACTTCAAGCTGATTCTATGGTTTCCCTATGTGAAGGGAAATGTTTATAAAAAAGCAATCTGAATTGAACCTTCAGAAGACTTTGTGCATAATTTGAAGTCACTGTCAATATATTCCCTTCTACATAATCCCATGTGATAAAAAGGAGACAGGTACTTCCAACATGGATCATGCATAGTCTTCCTTTCTTATTAATGGAAATAGCAGTAGCACTAAGACTTATATACTGCTCTACAGTGCTTTACAGCCCTCTTTAAGTGGTTTACAGAGTCAGCATACTGTCCCCAACAATTTGGATCCTCCTTTTGCCCACCTCGGAAAGATAGAAGGCTGAGTCAATCTTGATCCTGGTGAGATTTGAACTGCCACACTGCAGCTAGCAGTCAGCTGAAGTAGCCTGCACTGCTGCATTCTAACCACTGCGCCACCTCGGCTCCGATACGATGCGATACGATATGATATATGATATGTTTTTGATTTCTTTTCCTTTATTTATCTCCCTCATCCTTTTTTCCCATCTGGAAAAAAAGACAGAAAGGTTGCACTCATTTTTTGAGAATATAAACAGTTTTTGATCTGAAAAGTTTCCTGAGAAAGACATAAAAAGAGAATGTAGCTGTATTAGTGCATGCATATGCAATGCCTTTGTCACTTTAGTCGTATTCATATTTTACTCTATATTCATCAAGTATTTAGCTTTGTCTACACACCTTAGTGTTTTTTTAATTTTTAATATCATTTGCTTACAATTAAGGTTATCTCAAAGTTCAGGTTTCAATATAGTAGTATAACAAAAGAATTATAGATATTTGAAAATGATCTTCTGGTAATAAAATATTTATTTAACCACTTATTAGTGACATTTAAAGCAATTCAAACAAAAAGTAGAGGGGGTTTCTTCTTCACTGGTCATCAAGCAGATAACAAGGAAATCACAATGGATATATGCAAATTGTAGAAACATTGTAAAGAGATACAAAGGTCCCTCTTTTTAGTTTTCTAGTTATGAAATTCATTAACTTATCCATTACTGAGTCTCACTAAAAAATCCAGCTAACTGAGAAATTAAGTTTAGCTGATTATTTTTATTGACTGTTTAACATGTACAAACTATGAGTTGCAGGCTACATTTTTTTTAGTTAAATTAACTCATTTTTTTAGCAAGAACAACTTATTACTTATAGACAATCACTTCAATTACTAAATATAAAGTTAACATTAATGTCCTTATATTGAGATTCCAATAATAATTGTACATAGTCAAGATGTTACATTTCATTTTCATATACCACTTAGTGTCCATAAAGTGCAGGATGATAGATTTCTTGCAGGAAAGCAGTATAATGTTTTGATTACTATTCATAATATTCAGAGCTATAAATAGAAAAAATTGAAGGACCTAGAAGAACTCTATATGGATAATTCACAAGGAGCAGAATATGATATTTGCAAAAATATCATGAGATCATGGATTTTGCAGCTTTTTGATGTTACTTTTTTCCCATTCCCCAAATGTCAGTCACTTCTATAGCACATGAAATCTTGTAGAGAATGGATGTGTGTATTTTAGTACTGTACACTGCACTAATATTTTGTCCACAAAATAATATATCAGTAGAGTTCAGTATATGGTGGAACAGTGGTGGGTTTCTCTCCCTGTCGCTACTGGTACGCTGCTCACGGGGCTGCACATCCTGTTCATGCATGCGTGCTGCACACATATGTGCACTCCACTGCCCCTGTGACACCCAGCTGCTTGTCGGAGCTCACACAGGTGCCACATGGACAATTGGCCGGTTGCTTTAAAAACATATATAGAACGCAGGCCAAACGAGCCACTGTACTGGTATGCTGTCAGCTGCTCCAGGCTACTACCAGTACGACTGTACTGGGCCATACCAGCTGGAAGCCACCACTGGATATGAATATAAAGCCAGGAGCCAGTTTGGTTTAGTGGTTAAGACACCAGGCTAGAAAGCAAGAGACCATGATTTCAAGTCCTAAATTAGACATAAAAGCTAGCTTGGTGATTTGGGCCAGGCACTCTATCTCAGCTCAGCTCATCCCACAGAATTATTGTTGTGAGGAAAATAGGAGGGCGAAGACGTATTTATATTTGCTCCCTTGAGTTATTTGTAATAATAATAATGGTGGGATGTTATTGTTAGTTAAGAAGTTGTGTCTGACCCATTGCGACCCCATGGACAATGGTGGGATACAAATCAATTAGTTAAAAGACACACAGCACAGGAAAGGTATAATTTTAATAGTTTCAATAAATCAGTGCAGATCTCAGCTACAATATAGGCAATGAATAACCTAAGAAGCCCTCCTTTCACAAAATTAAGCAATTGTTCAATATCTTAATTCAGCTTTCAAAATACAGTATGTACTGATGTACTGAAATATGAATAATAGCATTTCTGAAGATCCAGAGTTAGGTAGGACATAATTTTATTAAGCAGTTTCTTTCATTTATTTATTTAAGTATAAAGTGTGTAATTTTTTTTAAAAAAAGATATTGGCTGAGAATGATTCAACTCTTTGAACAATCTTTGTAGTTTCAAGTATTATTTTGAAGTATTGTTTTGGAATGGTATTTTTTGTTGTTGATGATGATTGTTTAATACTTTTTTGTTATTTTTAAATAGTTTTTAATCCTAAGCTTAGGATTTCATTTGAGCCATGCAGAATCTGTTTCTAGATTATACAACTAAATTAAAGCTCCTAAATTCTGTTTTCTAATCAGTGACATTATTTTTTGAGTGGACATATTTTTACCATTATCAATGTGTATTCAATCAAAAGCAAAATATTTTGAAATACAATCAGCATATTTTCATCATATTTCAAAATCATCTTTTATCATCCTGCATTTACAGCTACACCCTGTGATGGAAAATTCATTCTAGATGGCTTGTCCGGATCTTTCCATTCTATTCATTATCCAGAACCCTATAACTCAAATCTTGTTTGTCGATGGATAATAAAGTAAGATGCTTCATAACATTCTCGATCTTAATTGGACACTTTCTGCAATCAAAATGACCTTTTCCCCTTATATTAATACTTTAACTATTTAATTTATGCAATCTAGCCAATATTTATCATGATGCTCCTTATAAATCTATGTTTTTCTAATATTGCAATACCTATCTAATTTTAAGACATAACAAACCATTCTCTAGTATAATTTTAAACTCCTATTCTAGTAGCTGTTGCATGAAAGTCCTTCCAGCTAACTCATGTCAGCCATTTTCTTATTTATATAATTATTTCATTTTTAAGATTTATATTTTAAGCTATATATTTTGCCTATAATCACTTCCAAGTGATTATACGCAAAAATATAACAAAAGAAAAAAGAAAATTATTAACATCAGAGATAATATCCACTACTCTATACAGAACATGTGACCAAAGAAATACTAACATCAGTGTGGAGTCCCAATCAATATACCATAGGGTTTGACAACAGGATTGAAGCTGTGCATTTTTTTTTATTTACTCGTCTATCTGGTCCATATTAATGGATTACCTAAAGATTTTAACAGAATATCTTTTAATGGCCGATTTGCATTTTTTTTCTGGATCCAAATATTAAAATATGTAAGAAAGAAACTATTCCAATTCATCTGGTAAGAAACTGTCCGTGTGCTTGTTTGGATATCAATGAAATATTAAATGTTTTTGTATCATTTTTGATATTTTGAAGTCCTCCCATGATGATATAAACAAATATGTCAAATTGCACATAATATTACCATCATCTCCTTCTGGAGGAATTAATAACAACAAAAACCAACATTTCAGCTGAAGCTGAGAATATTTTTTTTATTCTTGCTATTTCTACTAGCATTGCTTTTATGATGACATTACTGTTTCTTCATTAAATTTTATATTTCTTTCTGAACCGTGTAATATTCTTTTAATATATTGATGAAACGTAACAAATGTGCTTTACTAAGTTTCATTTCCCAAAGTTTCTTTTGTTTCTTTTTGTCAAATATAATTTTAAGATTATTTTCCCATCTGCATAAGTACTACAAAGGAATGAACAGAAAGAATTATAGATCACATAGATCAATGTTCAATTTCTGTTACCAGACTGACTTTGACAAGCATGTTGAAATTATTGTGGTCAAACATATATTTTTCATGACTTTTGGGAATTGTAACTGTTACTAAAATTAAAACAGTTTGCAGTTTCACATTTTCATGGTTGCCTCCTGAGTATTGAAAATCATTGTGCTTATATAACAAAAACTATAATATAGCAGTGTAAATAAGCTCTGTTTGAAATATATAATGCAACTGCCATGTTAATAATTATTATAGTGTGATCAATCCTATGGACCCTGGGATAAAGTTCTAAAATTATAGAATATTTCTATTTCTTTGGTCAAATTCTCTTAGACAGAAACTTACAGCCTAAATAAAGAAAATATGAAATATGTTTTGCTTTCTGTATCAAATAGCCATAGATTGTTATTTTGAAAATTATAAATCTATGACTTTAGAAAATTACCCCTAAAAGTTATATAGAGAGCCCTTTACCACTATTCTGGTTGGAAAGCCAAAAGCAGTAGTCATATACAATTAAATTTAGAGAATGGTAATCAATTCACCACCCAAAATAAGCCACACAAAAGTTTGGTCCAAGTATCATAGACAACAGTATCAAGCAATAAAAATGACAACTATACAAATCAAAATATTTATGATTATATCTGAAACCTATTCGTCTAGCCCTGAAATCAAATATATATGCATCATTCAGCTGCCTAGGCTCCTAATGATGGCATACTTATTCTCAAATTTAAATCTTGCAATCCTGGAACAGACATCTGAAGTAAACATAAGAGGCTCTGAATCAAATTGTACACCAACGCCTACTTTCACCAACTACTGCTGTGGAATTTTTCTTTTTTTAAAAAAACTAAAGGAAGCAATTTGAAACCATTTGGTGGTAGTGATTGATGATGATGATTGAAGATGATGATTGATGATGATAATGATGATGATTGCTCTTCCTCCATTCATTCTGAAAATATTCCAGGAAGAATCAAAAGACTTAGCTGAACAGATAGACAGAGAAAGGAATCTTCCTTCTTAGTTGACAAGCTTCCTAATCTGTTCTATTCAGTAGAGCACCATGACTTTTAGAAGCATTTTCAGATAAGGCTGAGAATGTTTGGTAAGATTTTTTTTTTCAGGAAAGTGATTTATTCCTACTTTCTGTTGCAAATACATAACTAAAAACAACCCGTAGTAACAAAAAATTCACTTCACATTATCATAAGTCTGCAATACAGCTATGATTTCCTAATCATTAATATGGCATCTTTCATGATGTTTTTCTTTTAGTATAGAGAAGCACCTATCTATCAAAATTAACTTCACTGCTTTTGAGACAGAAGAGTTTAAGGATGTTCTAAGTATTTATGAAGGTATAGGTACAACAAAGATATTAAGAGGTAAGATGCCTTTTTAATTAAATGTTAAAAATAAATGAATCCTATGATTTGAATAGAAAGAGGTATTCTAAGGACTTTGAAGAAGCGGGATAGAAAGAGTATTTGGTGTTGGACAGGTTTGAAAATGTAATGAATAGTCAAGAAAACAAATATTGGAAGATCAATCCAGAGTTCTTATTCAAAGTGTAAATGGTTAGGCTTAAGTTATTATATTATAGGCACATTATATGAAAATCTAGTTCTCTTGAAAAATTTATAATGCTGGAAAACATGGAAGAAAATACAGTAGGATTATCAAGATCACTGGACTAATTAGAAAAATGCACCATTGGAAGATGTGTCGCACCAGGTATGGACAAATCATCTTGAAGAAGATCTGGGTGGTTGCTAAAAGTTGACACTGACTTGGGACATAGTTATTAATCATATGTTCATTCAGGCTTTGCAACGTGTTTATACTATTCTGAGCTTTTTATGTACTTACTCATTCAGCTGAGTGTAGGACAAAACACATTCAGCTGTTATTGCCCTACATGACAAGTGTAAGTATTGAAGCATAAGGGGTTTTTTGGTGGGGGGGGGGTTAACATTTTCTTTTTTGTTTACATATTTCAAGAGTTTTTAGAAAAATAATAATTACTACACTGTCAGTCCCAGCACAGAATGACATAGAATAAGCCAACCAAATTTCAATTGTTTATTTGCTCACACTCTTCAGACAAAATCTTGCCAGATAAAACCTATATCACACTTATCTAATAGATACACTTAGAGAAATTCTAGGGAAAATCTAGGGAGTGACCATCCTAAATCTCTTTCTCTGACTCCAGTCCAGCACCACACTGTCTTGCCCCCTTCTTGGAATATGCTCCCTCTGTCTTGAGAAGATGATAGCAATAGCAGTTAGACTTATATACCGCTTCATAGGGCTTTCAGCCCTTTCTAAGCAGTTTACAGAGTCAGCATATTGCCCCCACAGTCTGGGTCCTCATTTCACCCACCTCGGAAGGATGGAAGGCTGAGTCAACCTTGAGCCGGTGAGATTTGAACCACTAAACTGCAGCTAACAGTCAGCTGAAGTGGCCTGCAGTACTGCACTCTAACCACTGTGCCACTTCGGCTCTTATATACTTCACTGTAGTCCATCACACCACCTACACCTTCATAGACAAAATCCATACTTTTCTGAAACATTTTCTTTGCATGAAACGATACCTATGGAAAACCAGGAGACACAATAAATGCACAGGAGACATAATAATCAGGAGACATAATAAGTCCTTTTGTGTGAAGATGACAGAGTTTACTTATATTTATATAATGATCTGCTTACTTTTAAGTTCATTAAACTAACTGCAATTGACTGTTGTGACTAGAATCCTATTGAAAGTTTAGATATACTTGATTTAAATTGTTATTAAAAAGCATGAACATTAATGAAAGTATGTGTCAGGCCTGCAGTTATATCCCTTTTAGGATCTTTGGCCTGCCACACAGTCTCTTATTTCATTATGCTGTTTCATTAGTGTAATAGTTGGGGGGGGGGAATAGAAAGGAGTAGAATTGTGGAATGTGTTGTCATTTTTTTCTACAAGCCCAAGGTCATCTTTTGTCTCCACACCTCTGCACCTGACCGGAACCAGCTGGCTGGAGATGCCAGCGTGGAAGAAGAAAATTGGACCATGTGATGGATTTGTGGGTGTGGGGACAAGATCATGAACTTTCAACTGGGTGGGAATCCTAGGTAACTTCCAGAATTGGGATTCCACAGATGTGCCAAGATGTCTTACTTATTAAATTGGAACTTTAAGGATCGTTTTGCCTTGGACTCTGATTTCATTCTGCATGATACTTGGAACGCTGACAGTATGTTTACATACTGGAAGAAATATAGTTTTGTATCAACTTTTCACAGAACAAAATCAATTGATTCACTTTTACTTGAATAGGTATAATATTATTCCATTCTGATTTTTTTCCATTATGTTTTTTGTTCTTAGCTTACATCTCAGGTTCTAATCCTGGTACAGTTTATATTTTTTCTGATAAAGCCACTGTAGAATTTATCACAAATTTACATGGAAACCTTAATGGTTTTAATGCAACCTACACTGCATTTAATACAAGTGAACTAACTAGTAAGTATATCTGTAATTTATATTTAAGTACTACAGCAAAATAGAGCTATGACTACTATTTGAAAAAGATAATTATAGCATACAGCTTCCTCCATGTGCAACAGCTATCAATTATGTAATTTAAAAATTACAAAGGAACAGATCCTTTTTAATCCCATCCAACTATTTATTGAGACATCTACCATCAATGTCTTATTGCTATCTGCTTTCTGTAATTTTCTACTTAATCAAATGCTTCAGTTCATTGGTGGTAATATCACATGAAAACCAATATGGTAGACTGAAGTCCTGAATCATGTTTCCTTCAATCAGGTAATATATTGGGCAATTAGGTCAGTTATTAATGTGCCTCAGACTCACAGTGTTGCTACTTTAAGAATAAAAATGCATCATCTTGGCTTCCTGAGAGGAGAGTCAACTGTAGTTGATACAGTTTATGTGATGCCTGCTATACTTCATGGCTTAAGCTCTCTGTCTTTTCCTTGCCTGTCAAGTCTTTTCCTAGCAGTTGGCTGTGATAAAAGTAGATAAATAAGACAAGCAAATATCACTGTGCACAGCTTATAAGGGCAGAGTGCATGGCTAGTGTCATGTGGAACAGCCATTGTTTAAGAAGGATGTCCAACTCATTGTAAAAATAGTACTAAATACTGTCACTCTGTCTATACCAGTTGTTATATTAAATGCCATGGATATGGAAGCCTAACAATTCATTACACATATATATGTTCCATCATATAGCCAAGTAATTGTGCTTTTTTTCCCCAAAATCTCATTTAAACTCATTTCAAATTGGGACTTTCACAGAGAAAGCACCAGAAATAAAATATTTTGTGTATCAAGATGATAATAATCAGGATATTTTTTTTTCTTTTTCTGATACTATAACGCCTTGATTCTGGGTATAATTAGGATGTACATTATAGAATTTCCATGTTGTTTACTTTATTATTTTTACTCCAACCTTGTTTGAAGACAATGAAAAAATCAACTGTACATTTGAAGATGGATTTTGTTACTGGATTCAACATATACAGGATTACAATGAATGGGAGAGAGTTAGTGGCCCTATCTTTCCTCCTGCATCTGGTCCAGATTTTGACCATACTTTTGGCAATTTATCAGGTAAGAAATACTGTGTGCAAAAGCAATGATGGTTGTTGGTTACCATTTTTAATGTATTGTGGAGAGAATAGAAATATTTTATATTCTTTCTTTTCTTAAACTGAACATAAGAAGCAGTACACACATTTGGAGGATTAACTAAACTCAGGGCTTTGAACTATAAAAATGGCTCCAAGTAGCTCTTGCTTGCCTAATTACTCTAATACAGTTATGATGTGATGATAATATGTTGAAAAACACAGAGCCACAAAATACTTTAAATACATATTTATCTAAACAATTTCTTTTCTATAGCATGCTAGGCGTGTGAACCTATGGACTGACAGAAAAGTGCATGGCTTTTACAGAAATTTCAGTACAGAAATTCAGTATAAAAAATCACTAATTATTTAATTAATACAGTAGCTATTTATTTCACTTGATTTAATTTGTATAGCCATTCATCTTTTGCTGCATGGGTATTTTTTATTAATCATAATTTTAATTTAATGATGCTTGATGTATTCCAGCTGGAAAATATCCAGAATCTTGTAGGCTACATCCTGATGGCTTCTGATGGTTTGACCATACAGCATTTCAATTCTATTACTAATTTTTTCCCTCACTTTATTTCTATTGGAACATATTTTTCTATACACATTTGTGTTGCATAGGATCATGAACTAGGATTCAGGATACAAATTTGGTTAAATACAGTACATAATACATATTTAGGCTTGTAACCATTTCAAAGTAGAGCAACACTGAATTGACAGTAATAAAAAATAAAAATAAAGTCTCTCACCATTAGTCCTGTTGGCAAAGGCTGATTAAAATTGGCATTTATCTATAGTCACTTTTCTAGAAATCCTGGCAAACATGAACTTCATAAAGATATTACTTAAGTTATGTGTGTATTTATAAGTGCATATACTTTCTCTCTTTCTTTCTCTCTTTGTTTAATTGCTTTCCTTCCTGTTACCAGTATGCTTAAAAAATAACCGGACTAAATATAAAAGAGGTGGGATAAAAATAAAATCAGCAGCAGCATTACAATGAGTTCATGTCTAAATTAGCAGGATGCTTTCTTAACTCAGCAGGAATCAGAAGTCCATATGATATCTCTCATTAAGTGCATATACACTTACATATTTTTACTTTGATTTTTTTTCAGGCTACTATATTTTAACACAAACTATCCGTTTAAGCGAAGTATTGAGACCTCAAATATTTAGCTTACCCTTAGACCCTATTTCAGATGCATACTGCCTAAGTTTCTGGTATAGTAAATATTTTGTTTATATAATAAGAAATTATTATGATTTAGTCCTTTTTTGAAAACTTGGGGATGAAGAAAATGTTTTTACAATGAGTACTGAGGATACCCAAAGCCCATAGAAAGATTCTGTAGAAGGGGAAGAAGTAATCTTGCCTAAATAAATGGATGGAATGCTGAACAAGCACATCCTATCTGCAGCTTGGTAACTTTTAGAAAACAAGATGTGCAACTTGTTTACTTGTAGAAAATGATGTCTTTGAAAACCACCCCCTAAATTTATTATGCAAACATTTTATATGATGTGAATATAGACTCATGTAGTGGCTATAGTTCTACATTATGAAAGGATCTTAAATGTTTGTGGGACAAGGTAAACAAAAGTTTGTTTGTTTGTTTGAAGATAGAGTTTACAGAACCCTATTAGACACTTCTGACATCTGAAGGTGAAATAAGAAGTCTCTTTGACCAATTAACAAACTAAATAAATAAATGGTGGAAGATCTTAGTTTGATCAGGAAAAGCAGGATAGATCTAGATATAATAAGGACATTAAGTCTTCTACCATTTGCCCAGACTGGGGTGCAATTTAGAACAAAAATCATGTCTGCCTATGTGAATTCACTCATAAAAGCTATTTCTTCCCCAATTCCATCTACTACTGATGGAGCATGTTCTTCTGAAATTTGACTGATAGACACTGGGTGGATTTCACTTTAATAAGATATTATATAATTTATGAAATTTGTTTTTCATTTAGGTATCACATGTATGGTATTAATGTGTACCGTCTAAATATTAAAATTATATATGATGATAACAGTCAAAAGATCATCTTCCACAAAGAAGGAAATTATGGAAATAATTGGAATTATGGACAAATAACATTAAATGAAACATCTAAATTTAAAGTATGTTAATATATTTATGTTCAGCTTATAATTATGATTGTCTTCATTTTGTTATCATTTTTCTTCTTTCAGCATTCATAAACAAACACACATTCACAACTATAGCACTGAAATAACAATATCAAACAGTATGCATATATATTATGCTGTATTTTGGGCAACTAGAATTATTATTGGAATTTTTTTTCTGACTTTCACAGTTGTGTCACTAATTGAGAATTGGATGAAGTAATTAGCTAAAGTAATGAAATAAATATACAATTGAAATTAATTTGATGTGCATTCGATAATTTCCTCTGCCTCCCAGATTTTTAGTGTCATAGAGGGATTCTATATCTCCAATTAATACTTCTAGCACTTGATTATATACTTGCCTTGTCAAACTTGGTTTCTAAAGGGAATGTGTGGTTTATAAATTATTGCTCAAATGTGACTAATAAATCATTAGAATCCTCTACAGGAGAATTTTTTTCTTCATCTTCTGTGTACTGAACAATTGAGTTAGCCCAAATGTTTTCAAAACTCATATCTCATCTTCCCAACATTTCTGGTAACAATGCTGTCAGCAAGAAAAAAAGAGTTCCAAACAATCTGAATCTGAATTTTTATTAGATGTGTTTAGGGGAAGTAGAATTCCTTACAAAGCAATTCTAAAATTAGTAACTTATGGCTATTCACATTAGTATCAGAAAGGCAAATGTTCTGGACCAATAGAGATAATTAGAATTTTATAACCATGTCAAAATAGTTCAACATAATAGGAGTCAGAGTACAAAGAACCAGTTGCATTTTGGCAAGTTGATAAAAACATACTCAAAATTTCTGCCTAGTCTCTCTTTGATTTTTTTCAATTTTTCATATAGATCAGGAAATTTTGATCACCTAACATCTTTATTTTCTATGAATGCTAAGAAGTCTATTTATAAAAGAATTAAAATATCGACAAAGGGTGATATTCTGTTTCACAATATGCCAAACACATTTGTTTTAATTAAAATAAAATGAGAAAGGAAAGGAAACATTGCCTATATCTGAATGTTTATTTCATAAATTATAAGATAGCAATTTTAGAAATTTAGAAATATAATATAATAATAATCTAAAACATCTTAACTTAAATAGAAACTTTCTTGAATTCAGTGGAACATATTCCATGATTTAAATTGTTACCTTAGTCATTAATAAAAGTAAATTTGTAATGTTCTGATAATATACACCAGGGGTGTCAAACTCAAGGCCCAGGGACCAGATCAGAGCCAAGGTGGCCCAGTGGTTAAATGCAGCACTGCAGGCTACTGCTAGATCAGCAGGTCAGCGGTTCAAATCTCACCGGCTCAGGGTTGACTCAGCCTTCCATCCTTCCGAGGTGGGTAAAATGAGGACCCAGATTGTTGGGGGCAATATGCTGACTCTCTGTAAACCGCTTAGAGAGGCCTGAAAGGCCTATGAAGCGGTATATAAGTCCACTGCTATTGCTATATTGCTATCAGAACATTACAAATGGGGTGCTTAGATCTGGCCCGTGAGGCCACCCTGGAAACAGCAAAGGACGGGCCGATGGTGCCTCTGCCAGTGAAAATGGAGCTTGGGAGCTCCCAGGCACAGTTTTCACCTGTGACAGCCTCCTGCAACTTTCAGCCAGCAAAAACAGAGGGCTGCAGGAGGCCATTGTAGCTAAAAACAGAGCTCAGGAGCCCGCTAGCAGAGCATTGGGCCACCATAGGTGCCCCTAACACAAGTGATGTCAAGCTGGCCACACCCACTTTGCCCACCCCCACGCCTGAGGTCAAACACAACCCTGATGCAGCCCTCAATGAAATTGACTTTGACACCCTTGATATACACCATCAATTTTACTTATATGCATTCATATTTTACAAAGTTACCATAGATTAATGAAACTGTAAATCATTTCAATATATAAAATAATAACCCAACATTAATAGTCCAGTCTCTTTATAATCCTTAATTCCAATTTAATACATGTTTTTCATTGTCATTTAATATGTCGATTCTAAATAAACAGAATCCCAACATTGTTTTAATAGCTGCAAAAATATAAAATGATTATCTGTCTAATTTACTTCTTAAATGTCTCAATCTTTTTTACATAACTCATCCAGCATGAGTATATATCACTGGCAAGAGTCCCAAAACCTAATGCAGAATATTCAGTAGATTGTGTAAATCATCGTAAGAGCTCAAAATGTTTACAGTAGTGAAAAAAAAACCTAATCAGCAAATAATCAAAGATCAAGATCTACGTTCCTGGGCAAACCTACAGATAATGAAACAACATAGGAGATATTCACATATCAGATATCTACAGATAATGTAGGGTGTACATATTCAATACACCTTCTATTCCCACATTTAATCATGCAAGATGTTGGATTAAAAATAAACTATCGGGCTGAACTAAGTTTCTTATTAGGTATTATTTATAAGAAAGGTGTTAGAAAGAATTATTCTTTCTTGCTATGTATTTTTGTAGGTTTAATATTTCAGACTTTAGTAGTTAGGAAATTAATTCAAAACACCAAAAATGGGTAAAAGCAATATATTTCCATGTGTCGTTTTTAAGTGGATTTTTTCCCTAGAAAATAAGTTATACAAAATAACCATTGTTGAAAAGGAATTGAATCAATCTACTTCATAGCATGATTGAATTGATTATTCATTGAAATAGCAACTGAATAAAAATACGCAGGATCAATCAATGGGCAATAGATATTAATGCTTTGTTTCTGCATTCTCATACATCCACCAACAGTGTACAGATCAGTTCACTTCTTTTTTGACATGAAACATCGAATTATATCAAAAGCAAAAGCATTCCATAACATCATAATCATCAATAGAAAGCTACTTAAAAGTACTAATATTAGTAATATTAATAAAGCAATTGCTTCTATAAATTATAAACGTGTTTTTAAATGCTTCAGAAAATAAAAAGATGTATAACTACGATACTGGATGAACTTATCATAAAATGGGCAGTAATACAAATTTGATTAACGAACACATTTCTTCCCTCAATTTTCTTCCTAATAATGTATCTGGATTTATCACTAAATTGAAAAATAGAATAAGCAAATGCTTTTCTCAGTAACAAGCCCTCTTTTAGCCAATATTTATACTACTTAATTGTTTCCAAATTCCAAACAGCACTAACTTATCAAGCTTCACTTCACTACAATCCCCACAGCAGTTTTGATGGACCAATATTAAAAGATCCCTATTAGTTGCAACTGTAGCCCTAAGCTCAACAAGATGCTGTTGAGACTGCAGTTCATATACTACTATACTTTTCCCAATTTAAGGAGTCAAGGGCTCGCCTTATAATTCTTTACCTGGTAAAACATCTGTGAAACACCTATATGGTTGTTATCAAATCAGTATGATTCAATCTCTTTGAATGTGGCTAAATTTTGTTACACTGCCTGTAAAATTAGGCAAGCTTTTTTTTTACACATTGATGAACCCACCACTATTTATAATATTTTACCTTGTTTTGTTTTTACTTCATTTTGATTTTGAATGTCAGTGGCCATAATAAAAAATATCCATTATTGTTTTCTCACTATATAACATTTGTTTCTAGGTTGCTTTTGAAGCCTTTAAAAGACCAGGTTGGAGTGATATTGCCATTGATGATATAGGGCTTTTAAATGGAGTCTGTGCTGAAAGCATTTATCCAGAACCCACTAGAGTTCCTACAATATCTTCGCTACCAAGTAAGTCATTATTATTTCTGAATTATAATATTATCAAGTTATATTGAAGTCAGTATTAAGATTTCTATCAAACTATTTACTAAGACTGCATTACTATTATTCTTCTTATCCTTCCTATTACCTATCTCCTCCCACTATAACCTTGTTGCTTGTATCTTTATGGTTTATATTTGTTTTATTCACTTTCCTAGTATGATTTGATTGCTTATTTAGTATCCTATGACTATCACTAAGTGATGTATCTTATGATTCTTGAGGGATGTAGTTTGTATGTACACTGAGAGCATATGCACCAAAGACAAATTCCTTTGTGTCCAATTACACTTGGCCAATATTCTATTCTATTCTATTCTATACTATTCTAATGGCTAATTTACCCTCATCACTTACTGCATAACAGACTTCCAATAAAGAGGCAAAGCAATAAAATATTTAGTATTTGTTCTTCATATATTCCTATGTTGTTCTGTTCTGTTTGAGTCTTTCATATTTGTGACAAAGAAGTGATTCAATTATTAAGCAGTAAAAAAAATGAGTTTCATTAGCATTACAAATAGTCCTTGACTTACGTTACCATCCTTTTGAAGTTTACAATGAAGCTTGCATTTAACTGTAGCAGCATTCCCATGGCCACATGACCAAAATTTGGGCACTTGGCAACTGGCATATATTTACAATGGTTACAGTGGCCCAGAGTTGCTGATCTCCATTTATGACCTTCCCAGGGGGCTTTCTCAAAGCAAAGTCAATGGTGAGCTGAGATTTGCTTAATGTTTGTGTTAACTGAATAACAATCGTGATGATAGTAATTTAATGGTGATTTTAATGTATGGCTGTGGCAAAAAACATTGTGAAATCAGGCATTATTTACTCAGTTACTGCATTGCTTAGCAATGAAAGCTCCAATTCCAATTTTGGCCATCAGCCGATAACTATATGTACTGTATATTACCAATTGTCATTTATATTAAAGATTATAAAAGTATTTTGACTCTAAATTTTGAATGATATTTTTGCCCCGGTTTTAATTCTTAGCTTCATTTCACATTTTGAATTTATTGCTTTATTCTATCTTTTTACATTCAGGGTGATATGCAAAATATTATGCTACCGTCAGTAGCAGTTTGGTGGTCAAAACTATTTTTTCATCAATATGCCATGAATAGTATTCTTCCATCTAAACTGCTTACAATAATTAAGTCATCCAGAAAACAATTCACAACACAACAATCCTCATCCCAAATTCATAAAATGTTAAATAAACCTTGAATCCACTGGCGCTGTTAATATTCAGCTACCCAACTAACATCACATACTGAGGAAAATCCATCTATTGCTTTATTTTGTAGATGTAACTCACTGATGTAAATATTATGACACACAGCAGATGATTTAAGCAAAGAACTAAGGAGCCTTAATTAAATTCATTCATTTCCAGATTTGACTACTGCAGTACTTAATGTTGAAAGACACATAACTGATGATGCATAGAGCTAATGCTATCAATTTTAGGAGAGGATATTAAACTTATCCAATAAATGCAGAGTAAATTGGCAAATAGAAGTAAGGTTAGAAAGCACAAAAGGACAAAAGGTCAGGCGTGTATGGTCATGAAGCTGCTAATGAAGTTCAGAAGCAGATCAACTTCTTTGTATTCTTTGCTAATCCTAATTTATATTGCTGCAAAGATTGACTATATCTAGATTTATTATCTTCTTTCTGAGATAACATTTTCCCATATTAAAATATTGGAAATCTGGTGTATCATTAAATTGAATAACTAACATCTCATATTTTATAAAGCGATGATATTAAGTCTGTCTCAATAAAAACAATCTGAATTCAATCTAGACTATCCGACTAGATATTGATGGTAATCTACTAACTGCCAATACTTGCTTACAAAAAACTTAATTAACTTGTATTAATCTTGTAATATAGGCATCTGAAAAATTTGCCATATTTTTCCACACATTAATATTAATATTCATCAAAACTATATACTTTTTCACTTTTTAGTTTTATTGACTTTTAGTACAGATTAATACTATACAAAAATGGAAATACTCAGTTTATGGAATATATTTTCATAATTTATTCCTTTTAAGTTCAACAGTTGTTATAGTTCTGGCCTAGAAACCAGGAGATTCTAAGCCTCCCTTATCCATAAAAACTGGCTCGGTGTCTGGATATGGTAGAATAGTAGATAGATGAATGGACAGAAATGGAGATGGAGAAAGAGAGAGAGAGAAAGAAAGAGAGACAGAGACACAGAGACAAACAGACAGACAGACAACAGAAAAAGACTACTACTAACAATCACATCAAATGTACAAAATAACTTCTTTAGGAATTGTGTCTTCAGAAAATGGCTGCTGTAATGATCGTAATATTTGGAAAAAAATAAAAGATGAATCTGAGAAAAGTCAAATCTAAAGGAAGTTAAGCTTTTTTTTAGCAAAAATGTTTGTAACTGCTTTGCAGAAGCAAAACCAAAAACATAGTTAAATAAATTTAAGGGGCTGGCTTTTATAACATAAGATGCATGGTCATTATGGCTAAGATGGATGCATTCAGTTTCATCTACAGTTTCTAGGGGCAAAAAACCCTGATTCCTCAGAAATCTTTCTTTGTGCCCTCCCTTTTGTACAAAAATCTGATGTTAGAACACGCAGCTTTGCTTGCAGCATGTCAGTCTCTATTTTTTCAGTGTGACAATTCCCAAACTACACAATATCCAAGAGTTCAGTGGCTGTTACATTCTTATATATAAATATAGCATTTCTGTGTCTGTACACCTTCTAGTCAGTATTTATTTCTAGTGCCTCCCTGGACAAGACTCTGCAGTTTCTTGGCAAGAGTTCTCAGAAGTTGTTTGCCATTTTCTGATTCTTAGAGCTGAAAAAGAGTGACTGACCCAAGATAACCCAGTTGGTTTGTGCCTTAGGAAAAACTAGAAATGAAAGTTCCTGGTTTGTAGCCTAATGCCTCACTCAGTAAACCAAACTGGATCTCAAATATACATTAGTAACTAATTATGTTGCTATTTTTGAAGGTTGAAAATAATAGCATTATAGAAGAAAAAACAAAAAAGCATGATTATCCATGCTCTGTTCTTTGTATAGGATGACAAACTAAAGTCAAAAATAAAGACTTTTGCAATGTAGTCAATATAGCTTATAACTGTTGATTCTTTGATACACCATGTTTGTTATCTGTAATACAAAATACTGAACAAGAGTGACAAAGATAAAATATTGATTTTATCTTTGTCAACTTTGTTTTTAATCGTTTTTTATAGAAAATTGAAATTTTAATAACATACACATTCACCTATCAACAAATTACTTTGAGACATACAGAAACACCTTCTCTGAAATTACTAAAACTTGAAGTTCTTCCACCTACTGCTGGCTTGTCACATCAGAGTTTTTAAAGCTGAATGCTCTACACGAGGCTTTATTGTAGAAATGAATAAGCAACTCTCAATCTTTCTTCATTATATGATGTTCTGCAGCTGAGACAACATTGCCTAATAAAAGAGTGTAACAGGCTGCATGAAGCATTATTATAACAGAAAATCTTTTCCACCCAGACTCGTCAAATTATCATTAGATTTAATGGCAGTATTATAAGGGTAATGGCAGATCCTGTAAGTACTTCTTTCAGCCCATCTGTATCTCAATTGCTGCTAATATATTTTGTTAGAGCAAGAATGAAAAGATGCTATGCTCAGTGAGCTGTTTAATGTAAAATTATACTTTAAAATTATCTTAAAAGATAATTTGGTATATAGATAGCCGAAAGTTTAGTAATCTTGCTTAGCTCATTACTATTGTGACCCTGGTTCATTTTTTTCCCAAGAAACATTCTAACCATCTTAAGATAACTAGCTTTCTTTTGCAGGTACCCAGTTTCTGCTTGCATATTTTAAAAAGATGTAATTTGATACTTCCATGTTGCTATGAATTCTGAAATGCTAATAATAACCTTTTAGTATTATACATATATAGTAGAAATTATACAATTAGACTCTGTAGCTCTTTCTCTAGTTTAAAAAAACCCCGATTTCAATTTGTTGTTTTTCCATCAACAGTCAACAGTCATCATGCTTTCTGTAATACTGTTCATTTTTTAAATTTGGATCTCCAATCTTTTTGGGACCAATCGAGAGTTTTTCAAATTCATAAATCACATTGTACGCATTGATTACAAAATGCCTTAGCAAAATGTTTAATTAATTACAAAATGTCTACTAAGTTGAAGGGTTGTAAAGCAGCTGCATATCAAAACATATCATAGTACCTTCAAAGAGCAAATACAAGCTTCAAAAGCAAGAAGCTGCAATCAAAAAGTCTAATTTTACAGCTCACAATATTTTATTTGAAACTATGCTACAGTTATAATTGGCATGTGAAAGACTATGAAACTAATAAACTAGAATTCTAGTATACTGTATATCCACCTATACCAGCAAGGTACCTATATTACCAATGTTGTGGAAGTTTAACTATAAGAAACCATAAGGAAACAAAACAATTGAAGATCTACAACAAAGCTTTTTTTTATAGCCATACAAAGAAGACAGTGATAACTGGTCTCTCAGTTAATGCTTTGTTTCTGCATTCTCATACATCCACCAACAGTGTACAGATCAGTTTCTTTTTCGACATGAAACATCAAATGATACCAATACCAAAAGCATTCCAAAACACAGCATAATCATCATGCATTGGTCACATAAAAGAATTTTCATACAACTACAAAGTAATGTAATAGTATAGATCATTTTAAATATAAACTACATGTACAGAATATCTTACAGCAACAAGCTTACCTGGTGATTCACTACCTTCTTAAACATAACAGTAAGCAACTGACCTATTCAGATCTCTGACTATCCAAAAATCAATGGTTTGCCATATCTGATCCACTTTGTTTCTTCTAGCTGATTGTGGAGGTCCATATGATTTGTGGGAACCAAACACTACATTTACTTCAATGAACTACCCAAACAACTACCCCAATAGAGCATCTTGTAAGTTATGTCTTGTAAGTTACATGTCTTCAAAACTTTAGACAAGTTTGTTTAAAAATATGAAACATACGTATAAATAAATGTGTAAATAGAATTAATGAAGATTATACTCAGGTTCATTAGAAGCTTTTGACTTCAACTTCATTAAATTTTTAATAAAGTTTTTTTTTAAAAAAAAAATAGAGATTATAGAACACATGCTATTATAAAAATGTAAGAAAAATCTCATTATGTCTCATTTTCTGATCTGGTGTTGTAGCTGTTGTAGCAGCTACAGACTTAAAAGCAGACTTTGGACAAAGCTAGATACCATTCTCATCTAACTAGGATTCAATGATACAGGCAGATCATCATATTCACCAACACATGGCAAATGGATGTGCTCTTTTTATCGACAAATCTGGCATTAAAAAACAAAATAATTCAATGATCTAGCTCCAAAAACAGGCAATTGAACCAGAAGGAGAGAATCTTACAAAACTGTAGGTACCCCTTTTTCTAAGCAGTCTACCCAATTACTCATTCCCTTGGCAATTAAAAGCCCTTAGCTTTATTAGACTCCATAGCCTCCTCTGACCTAATCTCAGTAGGAGCAACAGCCCCACCCTTACCATGAAAACCACTGGAATCCCACTGCTGTTTACTTCATTCTAACATGCAAACACTACCTATCAATAAGCACTGGTCAATCTCTATTGGACACCCGTCCTATAAAGCTTTACTGCTACTAGAATTTTGGTTCATCAGACTTTGTATATTCTACTCCATCATATATGCTTACTTCACAATGTTTCTTCTTTTTAAAATGTGTTCATTAGTATTATACAATACAATAAAAGTATTTAAAAAATGAAAAGAAAAAGAAAAATCCTTTCTGTCAGAAAGAAAGTCTATGTAAGTCTTCCTGTCTTTTTAAAAAGTCTGTTCACTTCATGTACTGTTTCTGGTACAGAGCGGGCCAGGTACACAGCTACAACTATTCCAAAGTCATGGGCAGGAAAACAACCTGCCCACTCTCATGCATCACCTGTCTCCAGTATTGGTCTCTTGTTTATCTGACTGCTGACCAAAATTACATCATTCTGCATCCTTTTCCCCTCAAACATCAAGTACTACACAGCCTCTCATTCCTTTCCATTTCTCATTGTCACATATTTCATCCCATACATTTTGTTTCCACAGTAGCAGAGGTAAAAACTTGGAGTGGGGAAGGAAGCTGAGTATCTGAGAGGAAACATATAGGAAAGGTAGATAGGAAAAGAGTAATTAAGCCTTTAGTGGGATCCAAATTTGTCTTTACTTGTTATGTACTCATTTATACTTCTCTGTAATAGAATATTTGGTTTCTTTATTTTTAAAGAAATCGATTATCACCTTAACACACCTAACAGTAAAAATAATTATGTTTTAAAAAAACCAAAAAATCATTTCTAATCAACCTCCCCTGAATTTGCTCAAAACTTGTAGAATATACTAATAATATATTAATAAAAGTTAATTTGAAATTTGCAGAATGTATTAAAGAAGTCTGATTTGAATAAATACATTAGATATTAAATAATAATAGTACTAACATAATAATAGTGATAATAACAACATATTTGGCTACTTGTGGTCATTATGCCTCAGGTGAACTTGGAATCCCGGGATATGTTTTTAAGGTGCAAATGCTAAGAATAATCTCAACTAACTCACTGCCCAACCACCCATCAATGGTTAAATAATTCTGGTTATTTTCCTGAAATTGCCTTTTTAAATTTAAGTGCTGTGCCTTATTCATAAGGCTATGTCATATTGAGAATTGTTAACAGAAATATTAAACTGTTGTAATGCCATTATTATTTGGAGTTGTATTGGAAGTCTTTTAACATATTTAAACTGGATCTTAATAAAAAATGATGATGACTACCAACTATGCAACTTGCTTCTTTATGGAAACTATTGACAAATCAGTATTTTTGGTTTTGTTTCCTTCTTATATTTTATAATTCTAGGTGTATGGTATTTGCATGCAGAAAAAGGAAAAAATATTCAACTTCATTTTCAGTATTTTAATTTAGAAACTATTCATGATGTTCTAGAAGTCAGAGATGGTATAGGAGCTGAATCTTTATTTTTAGGCAAGTATATAAAATATATCAAAATGTGTGAAAAATTATATTGTATCAGAATACTTCTCTAATTATGCTGTACGTTTAAAAAATAAAACAGTGAAAAATAATATAGTATACAGTGTTTTTAACAATTCCAGAAATCTGTACATTCCATGAGTTGAATGTGACAATATCATTTTCATAACATTCATAAAAATGTTCAATAACAATAGTATTGCAGATAAAATGTAATATATTTTCATACATATAGTTAAACTTTTATGTTGATTGATATAATTTAATTTAAGTTAACAAAATTGCAGCATTGGGGAAATTAAGAATATTCTGGTGTGAATATTTTATTTCTATTGTTGCATCATTGTGTAATTTGCCATATTATATAGCAGTGATGGGCAACCTTTTTGGCATGGTGTGTCAAAAATCGGCAAAAAATCGAGCATAACTCGCGTTGTGTGTCACT